CCTTTAATGAAGTGCTTGTAAGTTTCCTGGCTTATTATTAATTTGAATAAATGACGTTGGTAAAATGAGTTATTTTGTTGAAATCGTTTTAAAGTTTGGTTTCCAGGATAAATGAACCAGAGCAGATTATTATACGACTATTAATAATAAAAAAAGGTAATAAAGAAATAAAAAGAAGTGCTTTCTGTTAAGATTTTCTCTTTTTTTTTTCATGGAAAAAGCTGGGATTTGTCTGGATTTAAAGGCGGTACGCTGCGTGCGTCCACCCTCCTCAGCCCAGTTGACAAAATACAAACCATATATTCATGAGTTTAATCCCCCGCATGTGAAACGCGCCACAAAAGGAGAGGGGTTTTCAATTAGAGCGGCCCACTTTATCTTGGCCGTCACAAAACTTGCCTAAAACCCCCCCCCTTTAAAAGGCACTAAATTGGTCTTAACATCTGTAATGCCACGTCGATGGAAGAGAGGCCCCCCCCCTTTGTCATTAATGAAGTAACAAACCACTTCATCAAACAGCTTTCACACACACAACCTGAGGAGTTAATCCTTCCCTCCGCCCTCGCTCTGATGCAGCACTATCACACCAATCAATGCTTATTCTCCTGCGTTTGACCCAGCTTTGGTGCCCGAGCAAAACGCGTGAAATTACTCCGCGGATTAATGTAGTCCCTTTAGATTATATTGTCTGCATCTGTGAACCCCCCCCCCCCCCCTCCAGTCTAATTCCTTCAGCAGCCCACCACCTGTTAATCACTTTACTTTAAACTGCAGAAAAACGCACAAGTTTTAGCAGCTGAACGAAAGAAAAAAAAAGATAAAATAAAAAACAATTTTCTYCTGAAACCATCTGCAAAGAGCTGCTTTTCTTTTGCTCAGCGGAGCGTGCTCTTCCCGTTTTCTCCCCCCCATGGTGGTTTTTGATGAGATTGTCCGGAGAGAATTTAATCTTATTGTGAATATAACTAATGAACTGCAGAAACGATTTGTCCCTAATATC